TTACTAATCAAATTCTACGGTTTCTTCTACGTTATGTTCGTGTGGTTCTCACCCCCTTCTTCATGTGTCCTGCTCACCCGCCCAGCTGACTCGCTGATTCCCCAGTGCTCCCACTGTTGGCTCCCACCTGGCTTCCCTCCAGCTGCTGTGGCCCGAGTTAGATGGTGCTTTCCCCTCCTCCCTATGGCGTTCCCTGATTTTCCCAACTGTGAACTTTCATTGCACTTCATGTTTTTCTCATGACACTTAATGGCTGTATGGGTCATTCTTTCATTCTACAAATATTTCCTGAGTGCTACTGCATGCCTGGTCCTGTTCTAGGCACAGGGTCCTTCCCTCATGGAACTTGTATGCAATTAGGGGGGTGGGGAGAGACCAACAATAAAGAAATATACACAAGAGATAGAAGAAAAATATCAGAGAGTGATAAGTGCTGTGCTAATAGTTAAGGTAGTGTGAGCCTATGGAACAGCCGGTTGGCTACTTTAGACTGGGTAGTCAGGAATGGTTTCTCTGAGAAAGTGATACTTAGGCTCAGATCTGAATGGCAAGAAGGAGTTGGCCATGTAAAGATCAATGGGAAAAGCATTCCAGGGAAGAGGGTACAGCTAGTGCAAAGGCCCAAAGGTGGGAATAAGCTTGTGTTGTATTTAAGGAACAGAAAGGAGGTAGGTGTGATTGCAGCATAGTGGCTAAGACAGAGTGTGGACAAGAAGGAGAAGTTTGGTGAAGGAAGGAAGGAGACAGATAATGCCCAAGCTGATAAGTGAGAGTAGAGAAAGGATCATACCCTAGTGTCATAGCAGTCTGTTGGAGTGTTAGCGTTGGAGTGTTAAGGAAGAGATGGGATCTGATTTACATTTTTAAAAGTTCACGCTGGCCATAGCATGTGGAAAATGGATTGTTGAATAATAAATGGAACCAGGAGGCTATTACAGAGGTCCAGGGGAGAGATGATAAGAGCTTAAACCATGGTAGTGGTAGTGGAGATAGAGAGAAACAAATGGTTTGGAGGTAGCATCTACAACATGCTTCTCCAAGTGTAGTCTGTGGGCCGGCCCCGTGGCTTAGCAGTTAAGTGCATGCACTCTGTTATTGGCGGCCCGGGTTTGGATCCCGGGCGCGCACCGACGCACCGCTTGTCTGGCCATGCTGAGGCCGCGTCCCACATACAGCAACTAGAAGGATGTGCAACTATGACATACAACTATCTACTAGGGCTTTGGGGGAAAAAGAAAGGAGGAGGGTTGGCAATAGATGTTAGCTCAGAGCGGTGTTCCTCAGCAAAGAGGAGGATTAGCATGGATGTTAGCTCAGGGCTGATCTTCCTCAAAACAAAAAAAAATGTAGTCTGAGGATGGTGCTGATCCACACATCACTTGTTACCAATCCACATGAAATAAGAGCAGAAATTGAGAGTAAGTTTTTAGAGACTGTTATAGCAAACTAACATTGCCACGACCTCTAAACATTTGATGAGTGGACTTGTCTCATTGAGTGGGATAGAGACCGGTGTGAGTCTTGTCAAATTCCCTTGGGATGCTACATGCAGCAGGAGCTGTGTAAGACATGAGCTGCATATTAGTTATGGGCAATAGACCCACATATGAGTCCATGATGGATTGGAAATTTAAAAAGAAAAAACTGGTTTTCATCATAGATAGTTTGAGAAGCACTACAAGACTTGCTGATGCTGATGGAATTAATGTAAGAGAGAAAGCAAGGAATCAAGAATCACTTGGCTTGCATAATCAGGTGGAGACTGGTGCCATTTAAACTAGGAAACACTGTGAAATCAGCATATATTTTTAGGGGAAAGGAGGTAGTAAGTGCAAGAGGGCGTGTTCTCTCCCGATAGGAATGCTCCGGAAGAGGTAGATAGTGATGACAGGGGGAAGAAGATAACCGCAGGAGGGAAAGTCACTGCGATGGTGACAGAGGCCAGGACCCAAGCACTCAGGGAGAGTGTGGTCTTTTATAGGAGCAGGATGATCCCTTCACTAGTCACAGAGGGAAGGCCGAGTGAGTAGCCGCCAACGCAGGTAGGTGGGTAGTTTTGGTGCTGGGAAGATGAGAGAATTTTCAGGTGTTTGTTTCTATTTTCTCAATGAGATATTAGGTAAAATCATCAGCTGAGAATGAGGATGGGGGCTTAGCAAGTTTTAGAATAAAGAAGAAGTTGTAAAATTGTTATTTTGAGCAGTGGGAAATAAGCATACCAGGATCCCTGGGCAGTGCTGAGGGCCGTTTTGAATTGTGATCATCAGTTATTTAAATGAGACCTGTTGGCGTGGTTGGATGTTTTTCTCCAGGAATGTTCTGTTGTTAGAAACAGGTGTAAAGTAGGTGGATATTTGGGTTTAACCATTATGACTTTGCCAGAGGAGTTTAACCCAGGGAGAGAGGGGTAAAAGAGTCAAAGGTGTTTGCAAGGCTGTGGTTATGATAACAGACCATGAAATCTAATTGGGGACAGGGGAGGTGGGGGCGTGAGGACACAAGGAGGGTGATTATCATCATGGTAGGAGGACCGAAGGGTTGCAGGGGACCCTGAGGTGGCAGAATAGCTGGAGCAAGTATGGTGGAGGAGTATAAAGGGATGGCGATGGAGAGGAAGGCTTGAAATCAACTCCAGAGGTCGTGTAGTCATTGGTGCTGATGAGGTCAAGGGTATGATCATGAAAATGGGCAACTGAGGAGGGTAAAGAAAATGATCAGTGGATATGGGACAGCCCAAAATCAGCGACCAAGAATACTGAAGTCAGGAGAACGGTGACAGGAGTAGGATGTGGCAGAAAGAGAGCGGGCAGGATGCTGAAGTCATCGGTGAGTGGGGGGAGTGGCCAGGTTTGGTAAATGTCAGTGAAAGGAAAGCTTGGATTTCTGGGGGTGACTGAGGTCACTACGGATGTGAGGCATCCTGCATCAGTCCTGATAATCTCTTGGCAGAAGGTGGGAAACCTATTCAAGCCGGATAACGTGGGGCCCTAGGGCTGGGATCTCTCTAGCACTCAAAGTTCCAAGTCTGTGTTTGAGTTCAAACTCTATCACCCGCTAGCTGTGTGACTTTACGGAAGTCAACCTACTTATTCTCATCTGTAAAATGGAGATAAGTGTTCAATGAATTGCCTAGTTCACAAGGATCATTTGAGATAATGGATGTAAAAGCATTTTGAAAACTCCAAAGTACTATAAAAATGTTAGTTAAAATTTTAAACGTGTATACCTTGTATTATAATTACTAGCCTGTAAACTAGAGCAGGATCAATTACTTCTTCTTTTTATCTGCCACAATACCTAACCCAGATCCTCTGTTCTAGAGAGTACAAGGTTGAATAATACTAAACAATAAAAGCTTATAAAATGAATGAGCCTCTGATTAATGCCTTCAGTGTTATTGTCGGCATTACCATCATTACTGTCTAGGAGTAATGCTTTAAAAATTCTGGAAAGAAAAACCCTCCAATTTTTCTTTTTGCCAAATCCATTGAAATGAAGAATAAAGAAGCATTTCTTCAAGGTTAAAGTCATAAAAATATTTATACACTTTGACCTAATAATTCCATTCTCACACAGTTCTTTATCTTTTAATCAAGCTCAACATGTATATAGAAAAGTACAGAAATCGTAAGTGCATATATGAGTTTTCACAGAGTGAACGCACCATGTAATTAACCTGACTCCTAGAAATTTGATGCCAGAAAATATTCCCCTAAATGAAAAAGCCATGTTCCTAAAGATGTTCCCACAGTGTTACAGTGAAAAGGCTGAATGTTTGGTGGAGGAATGATGAGGTAAATGTTGGCACATAAATTCAGGGGAACAGTATGAACCCATTAAAAATGACAGTTTTGAACTGTAGAACAAAATTCACAAAACTCGAATGGCCTTGAGTCAGCAGGTACAGGAAATATGAGAAGGAGCCTGGTATAAAATGATGAGGAGTGAGGGAGATGAGCGAAGGACAGCGAGAAAAAAGAGAGTGCAGAGTGCAGGCCCTACCAAAGACAGTCCCATTACAATGTTGAAAAATAATAATAAACCGGAAGAAAATAAAACACAGTGCTGATCAAACAAAACAAGTCATGGGCCTAGTTTTGCCCATAGGCCTTTAGTTTGTGACCCTAAAATAGAGGCAAAATAAAGACACCAGGTGTGGCAATACGATGATAACTGTGCACAGATATGGCTACGTATGAACGAGGACCCGAGGGAAGTACAGAAAAAAGAACGCTGGCCTTGGTGGGAACTTGGTCAAATTACCTGACTCCTTAAGCCTCAGTTTCTTCATCTGTAAAATAGGGATTTTAAAAAATGCCTCCCTCATAAAACTGTCTTAAAGGTTAAGAGCGTGGAAAAGCGTCTAGCACGTGGTTAATAAAACGAATCTTCTCTCCCCTTTTTCCTCATTATTATTTTACAGTTCGCATTATTATTATTTCTCTGCTTTCATACCCCACCATCCTCTTCCTGCTTGTTCTCCTGACTCCAGCCACGCTAGCCTTCTCGATATTTCTCCAAGTGTTTTAGCCTCAGGGCCCCAATTCTCTTTCCCCCTAGTAGTGGCCTCCATTCTTGTGGGTCTCTGCCCAAATGAAGCTCCTCAGAGAGGGTTGCCCTGCCCCTCACCTTCCTCCACCTCTCACTTGATGTCATTGTTCTTCATTGTGCTTAGCACCACCTGGTGTTTTATTATGTATGTATTTTTTAATTTATCTGTTTATTCTCTACCCTAGAAGGCCAGCTCGATGAAGGCAGGATTTTGCTTAACTTTTTAATGCTGTATTCACAGTTCTAGAAGGGTACCTGGCACATAATAAACCTTCAAGAGGTATTTATTGAATATTGTTGAACTGAACAAAGTAGAGACATTGTGTCTCGTGTTTTCCCTAAATCCCAGGGTTACAATGTTATTTGTGTAATTAGTAATTTAAAAATACATTTTCTTTCAGGCATCTCAGTGTATAACCCCTCCGTATCTTTCCTAACTTGTTTGGCAGATCAGCGGTGCAGAAGCTGGGCGCAGAAGTATTTGAGGAGGTCTACAATTACCTCAAGAGAGCAAGGCGGCAGAATGCCAGCGAGGCCGAGATCCGGGCATCTCTGGAAAAAGTGGTGCCTCGGGCCAGTGACTGTTTTGAAGTTGACCAGCTCCTCTACTTTGAGGAGCAGTTGCTGATCACAGTGGGAGAAGGGCCCACTCTCCCGAACCATCACAAACAGTTGTCAAAAGCAAGCAAGTTCAAGGAGACAAATTTCTGTGAAAATCCATTCAGCACATAAACTGGACTCTGTCATGGGGAATGGGTACATAGCTGAGCTACCATCTTTACATTCAATTTCTTGTCAAAAGGAATGCCTCCTTTAGAGAGTAGTGAACAGGTCTGCCTACACTAGAGTCCTGGGCCAGTCAGAGATGTTTGGGTTATTCTCTGGGATAAGCTTATGGATCAAATTTGGCTTCCTGAAAAGCATTCCCGCCCACAAGCCCTAAGGGCTTCCAGGGGGTTGGACCATCCTGCCCATGCGCTGGGAGAAGCCGTCTGCTCCTTCCCATTTCCACTTGGAGCACAGTCTCAGTGCCTGACTGCCTTGGGTCGCTGTGCTCTGTGGCCAGCCTGCTCCTGAAGGTCGTTGGCACTGGTCTCTGACACAGGTGACCTGTTTTTGGTCCACTTTTGCCCTTCCCTGGCTAGCAAGCAAGAAGAGCATATATACAAGGACCTGGACTGAAAATCCAGAAAGTGATTTCCTTCTGTGGTTTATTCTCCCAACTCACCCATGGAGTATTGAAGACTTTCATTCTTAATAAATATATTTTTCGTGGTTACAAAATAAATCACCTATTTTATCTTTTCCTTATCCAAAAGTATGCTGATGAATGTAACAACACATCCCCGTAATGATAATTATTACTTACAGCAGCTAACATTTGGTTTATTCGTTGCCTGTTGTATACCAGCACTGTGCTCTGTGCTTATGACTTTAAGGGTCTTACTTCATTGGATCTTTTCACCCATGGGGGGGGGAGAGAGAGAGAGGGAGAGAGAGAGGGAGAGAGAGAGAG